TCCAGTGAAATATATTTATGTTTGTGGTTGTAATGTGACAAAATATGGAAAAGTTCAAGGGGTATGAATACTTTTGCAAACCACTGTATATAGTTCAAATGTAGAGAAATCTCTGGGAGAGGACCTTGAGGAGAAGAGTGGACAATATAACGAAAGTGTCTGGTTAAGAGGTGTAATATAGAGGGAAGCAAAGAAGGTCCTTTCTAAAATTACAGAGAGATGCTATGTACAGCTTCTCTTGGTTGATGATCAATGTGATGTTCAAGGAAAAAGAAAAAAAAGTAAAAGTTTTGAAAAAAGAAATGAGAAGAGAGAAGAAACTTAAATGTGTTTTTTTTTTTTTTTTTTTTTTTTTTGATTTCGTGTTTTTCCAGCAACCGCCTTCGTTCTGAGAGCAGCCGTAATCGCACCAAACTGACCGTGGATGAGCTCAAAGCCTTCGTGGAGCAGCTCTACAGGCTGCCGTGCATAATCAGCCAGGCCAGACAAGTCAAGGTGCGTCTCAACTTCTTTATTCTCTGCTCAGCCCTCTGATGATATTCAGCATCGTTTTATTTTATCTTCTCTTTTACCTCTCGTGTCGTCAGGAGTTACTGGAGACCGTGGAGGACTTTCACGAGCGAGCCCAGGTGGCTCTATTCGACCAGATGCCAGATTCCTCCAAGCTGCAGGAGCTTTTGGATCTGGGCAGCGGCCTGGACGTAGAGCTGCCTGAGCTGCCCCGGCTCAAACAGGAGCTGCAGCAGGCCCGTTGGCTGGATGAGGTGAGCTGGTTTTGTTCTATCCAAACAGCCCGCAGCGGTTCTTTTTGATAAGAAATGTGACTTTCTGCACCGTCTTTGTGAAATCCCAGGTGCGCGTCACCCTTGGCGAGCCCCACCGCGTCACCCTGGAACTGATGAAGAGGCTGATAGATTCTGGAGTAGGTCTGGCGCCGCATCATGCCGTGGAGAAGGCCATGGCAGAGCTACAAGAGGTCCTCACCGTCTCAGAGAGATGGGAGGATAAGGCTCGGGCCTGCCTGCAGGCGAGGTAAAGCTTCACATCTTCCCCTAAAAAAAAGAAAAAAAATTAAAAGTTCTCTCTCTTTATTTAATTTAATTTAATTTATTTTATTTAAAGATTTTATTTCATTCGGACAAACAAAACAATGCAAATAATAATAACGTGTCAAAAACACACATTATGGTTGAATGAAAAGGAGCAGAAGAAGAAAAAAATCTTGTAACGTCTGCCCCCATTTAAATAATATATATATCTACAAAATGTACAACATGCAGAAATTTAAACTCAACTCACAGTATAAATTAAAATAATCAACAAAACATCACAACAGAAATACCAATTTCAACCAACACTTTGTTCGTATCTCGTTAAAAAAAAACTATTAAGCATTCTACCAAATGAGTAAATTGTTCCAGCATTCTTAAGGTCATTGTCCACGTTGTTCCACAGTTTAATTCCCTGAACAGAGGTGCATCTCTCCTTTTAAATTAGTTTTAATTTTTGGTTTCACAAACATTTCAAGTCCCTTCAAATTATAAACACTATCCTAAAGTCGGATTGCATATTAGGTGGCAAATACGTTTTTATGAGCCTTGTACAAATTCAACAGAATCCTATAATCTACCAATCCCCCAAATTTCAACAGTTCCAATTGCTTAAACAGAATATTTGTAGGGTTGTGGTAGTGTTTTCTTTTTACAATTCTCACCGCACGTTTTTGTAAAAATTAAAAAGTGAATTTGTAAATGTTTTGCATTCATTTTCACCCCTTATTGTTTGTCCTGCAGACCTCGACACAGCATGGTGACCCTGGAGAGCATCGTGCTGGAGGCAAGGAACATCCCGGCGTACCTGCCTAACGTTTTAGCTCTGGAAGATGCCCTGCAGAAGGCGAAGGAGTGGACTGCCAAGGTGGAGGCGATCCAGAGCGGCAGCAGCTACGCTTACCTGGAGCAGCTGGAGAACCTCCTGGCCAGAGGCCGCTCCATCCCGGTGCGCCTCGACCCGCTGGCTCAGGTGGAGTCTCAGGTGGCTTCAGCTCGAGCCTGGAGGGAGAGGACCGCTCGCACCTTCCTCAAGAAGAACTCCACGTACACTCTGCACCAGGTGGAAAATAGTTTGATTGTGAGGCGACTTAAAGTCTGCGTGGATGTTTCTGTGTCAATGGTTACAAAAACTTATCTTTGCCTCGTCACTCAGGTTCTGAGCCCACGTGTAGACATAGGAGTTTACAGCAACAGCAAGAGCAAGAGGAAGCGGGTCAAGGAGCTCATAGAGAAGGAGAGAGGTGGCTATGACCCGGAGACCTTGAGCGACCTGGAGGAGAACCTCGAGGAGGTGCGAAACCCTTCAGCCGTCGTCGCTGCCTTCAAAGCCAAAGAGCAGAAGGAAGTGGAGGCAATTCACTCCCTCCGCGCAGCTAATTTAGCCAAGATGGCCATGGCGGACCGCATCGAGGAGGTCAAGTTCTGCCTGTGCCGAAAGACGGCCAGCGGCTTCATGCTGCAGTGCGAGCTCTGCAAGGACTGGTTCCACGGGGCGTGCGTCCCCTTGCCCAAGACGGGAACGCAGAAGAAAGTGGGCGTGGGTTGGCAGAGCAACAACAAGGACTCTAAATTCCTGTGTCCGCTGTGTCAGAGGTCCAGGAGACCGAGACTAGAGACCATCCTGTCCCTGCTGGTGTCGCTGCAGAAGCTGCCGGTGCGTCTTCCAGAAGGAGAAGCTCTGCAGTGTTTAACAGAGAGAGCAATGAGCTGGCAGGTAATGTTTTCACTCAGGCAAGAATCGACTCCTACAAAGTGTTTTCTTTTGATTTCTCCTAAATTGCCTTTTACCTTTTGCTACTTTTTTTTTCTTCCAGCTGGTCTTTTCCAACATTTAGCATTTAACCTAAAATTTTGCTACTTATGTTAACCTATTTATGTTTAGTTTTCAGTTAGCCTTGTTTTGCTATTGGTGAAAAAAGGTTAGCAAAAAGCTAAGATTTTGCTAACCTTTTAGCTAGTCTTTTTCTATTATTGGTGACTAAACTACAGAAGAGGATTAGGGCCCCAGAGCAAAACATATTATTATTTCCTAAGTTTTGAGTTTAATCTCAGAATTCTGATTTTGATCTCAGAAGTTTGACTTTATTCTCAGAATTCTGACTTTGATTTTCCTTTGATCTCAGAATTCTAACTTTAATCTCAGAATTCTGAGGGAAAAAAAACTATAAAAAATATTATTTTTCTCTGTGGCCCTAAACATCCTCTGTACTAACTGTTTGCTGAAAGCTATTAATGCTAATGTTGCAATCATTTTTACTGGTCTGACCATTGTACCAGGACCGAGCTCGACAAGCTTTGGCCACGGAGGAGTTGTCCTCGGCGCTGGCCAAGCTGTCGGTGCTGAGTCAGCGAATGGTAGAGCAGGCGGCGAGGGAGAAAACTGAGAAGATCATCAACGCTGAGCTGCAAAAAGCTGCCGCCAATCCTGATCTGCAGGTAGCATGCTTGTCACCTCCAACAAGATGAACAATTCTGTTGTGCAGTTTGTTTCAATAAATCAAATAAGATTATAATCAAGCAAAAATCAAATCTAGAAATGGCGAATGGATCAAACTGACTTCAAAGTTGGTGTGATGAGTTCTTTGTTCTTTGTCAGTATTTGAGATATACTTTTATTAGGAAAACCAGGAAGTAGAGTTGGATTAATCCGTTCAGCAGGTGATGAAGAGGTGTAGTAAGAGAAACGGTCAAACTTTGTCCACTGTTTGTCAGTTTAAACGTCTTACAGCTATAAACCTCACATTTGACTCTGTTTTTGTTTGCTCCCCAGGGCCACATCCAAACCTTCCAGCAGTCTGGTTTCAGCAGAGCCACATCGCCGCGTCAGTGTTTGGACTATGATGACGAAGAGACAGACTCGGACGAGGACATCAGGGAGACTTACGGTTACGACATGAAGGTATGTGAGATATTTCAGGCCGCTCTCTTCTGATTCTTTTCCTTTCAACAAACGCGTGTGCTCATCCAGGACCCAGGTGAGGTGAAGCCCTACTTGTTCTGTGACGAGGAGATTCCCGTCAAGTCAGAGGAGGTGGTCAGTCACATGTGGCCGGCTGCCACGCCCTCATTCTGCGCCGAACACGCCTACTCCTCTGCGTCCAAGTCCTGTGTGCAAAGTGAGGACTCTTAGCTACTTTTTAAAATATCCAGTTTGCTGTCAAAAGCTCACAATACAAAATATTTGCGTTCCAGACCTGGGCACGCCCAGGAAGCAGCCCAGGAAGACCCCTCTGGTCCCTCGAAGCTTGGAGCCGCCCGTGCTGGAACTGTCCCCGCAGGCTAAGGCCCAGCTGGAGGAGCTGATGATGCTGGGAGACCTGCTGGAGGTGTCCCTGGATGAGACCCAGCACATCTGGAGGATCCTGCAAGCGACACAGCCTCCCTCTGAGGAGAGATTCTTGCAAGTCATGGAGGTAGGGAGGTCGTATGTTGCGTAACCTGATTGTGAAATCCTGAAAATGCTCTTGTTGGCTCCAGTGACAGACAAATCACATCATGAAGAAACCTATTTATATCAAGTTTAGAACTAAAAATGTTGATATTTTATCTGCAGCCTGACAATTCCCTGATGGAGAAGCCCCTAAAGATCAAACTTAAAGACTCGGAGAAGAAAAGGAAACGGAAGTTGGAGCGAGCTGAGCACCACCACATGCTAATGGCCGCGGCAGGAGGCTCTTCGGCCTCGGGAGACCTCCGACTGTCCAAGTCCAAGGAGCTGAAGAGAGTCGGCCTGGAGCTCTGCCTCAGCAGCAAGCCCAAGAAGAAGAAGCTCAAACTCAACCTGGAGAAGAACAGGGAGATGAAGCAGCTGGCCAAACGACTAGCCAAGGAGGAAAAGGAGAGGAAGAGGAAGGAGAAGGCGGCCGTGAAGGCGGAGGCCATCAAGGAGGGCTTCGAGAAGAGGAAGGAGAAGAAGATCTTGGACATTCCCTCCAAGTACGACTGGTCGGGGGCCGAGGACTCGAACGATGAGAACGCCGTGTGCGCGGCGAAGAACTGCCAGAGACCGTGCAAAGACAAGGTGAGAATAAACTTCATCATCACAGATCTGGACACGTGTTGCCACGAAACAAGGAAACATGGATGACTGATAAACATGACTACTGATTAGTAAGTAACAGAGCTCTGAGGCATGACTGTGCAGCTTTATTTTATAGAAGTTGTAGAATTAAAGGGACATATGCAAAATCCACTTTTTTAGCTGTTTAATACATTTTGTTGTTCACTTGGAGTCTCTAGGAGGCAGAAAAGCTGAATTTAGTTTCTCCTGATGCTGCAAAGATAACTTTGTTTTGTTTGGGTCGTATTTTTCAGCCCGTTCAGATTTCTCTTTTTTCTTTGACATTTTCTGAGTCGATAGCATCAAATTATCTGCGACAGAATTGCCAAATAAGTTCTGGACTTACCGACTGCAATTACCTCGTCTTAATTCTCCTCTGGTTCTGGGTCAGACTCTGGTCTAGAAAACGTAGAAACAAAAAATTCAAGAAATGATCTAATCCTCACGCTGGTCTCCACTCGTGTTTCCAGGTGGACTGGGTCCAGTGCGACGGAGGCTGCGACGAGTGGTTCCACCAGGTCTGCGTGGGGGTCTCCTGCGAGATGGCGGAGAACGAGGACTACATTTGCATGGAATGCTCCGAGAAGGTGACCGGAGCGAGCGCGGGGATAGCAGTCGAGGTGACGGCGGTGGAGGAAGAAGAGGAGGAGAACGTCGTGGTGCTGTCGACGTGCGGCGTACCCTCGTCGTCGGTGCCCTCGTGGTCTTCTGCGCTTCTCGTGAACCCGGCGACCTCAGTTCAGCAGCAGGACCCTCAGCAGATCAGTTAGCACCGAACATCGGGCAAGAACTGAGCACTTGAGCGCGACGAGACGCCCTGGAATTATTTCTGTAACTGTTGGGACTGTGAAGCACAAAAAAAACGACTCCAGAAAAGATGTTTTCTGTAAACTGCTAAGGCGTCTGTGAGTGCAGGGTGAGTCCTGTAAACATTTTAGGTCTAGAAACACCCATCAGCTTCTGTCTGAAGGCTCTGATTTATTTACTGACCGTCTAACAAAGCACCACGCTAACTCAATATTCAGTCCAGGACGTCCGGCCCCTCCGCCCTTTGACCCCTCAGACGTTAATATCTCGACAAGACTAGGAAACCAAGTGGATGTAATGTAGTACAATTATTTATAATGTGTATAGTTTTTAAACAGATACAAAAAAATGGATTGTGACTTTTTGCTTTTCTCACCTTTAATAAACAAATCCTAGTCAAATATTTTTTGGATATTTGCACCTTATTTCCTAAATAAGTTTGAATGTATTGAAGCTTGTTACAAAGGTACTCATTGAAAAGACAAAATCTGAAGAATATTTTTCTGATATCAGTGATTCATGTGTGCTTAAGTTAAAGATTTGTGATTCTGGTATGGTTATAGCAACAAAGATTTTCATTAGCATTTTAACATTTTAACTTCTGGAATCATCTCGAGACCTTAAAGTCGGTGCTTTGTGGGCACGTGGCGGTGAGAGGGGGGAGAGATTAATTTAAAAAATCGGCCATTTTCGTAAAACATTTATAGTTTGAGTTCTCGTCTAAATCTTCAGCTGACATATTGAATTCATATTGTATTTGCGTGAATTCTGATTCATGGTTCACATCATTGTTTTCCTACGTGTTAATTTTCTGTATGTTTTAAGCACTTTGTGCTGTTTAACTGTATCAAGCTCATTTAGGAAATAGTCGCTATAAGTTGGAAATGATGTTTAAAAGTATTTTCTCCATAGAAATACATTGAGATCTCTATTCAAAAACATTTCTCCGACATCTTCCGTTTTTGTCTTTTTATGCTATGTTTAGCTAACTTTCTGTCACTTTTAACTTTTGGATAGTCTTTTAATGCTTCTAACTTTTAGCAGGTAGTTGCTATTTTGGAGCTAGCCTTTTGCTATTGTTTTGTTTCCAGCTAGCCTTTATCTACGATGAGCTTTTAACTAATACTTTACTACTTATGCTAGCCCAGGGGTGGGCAATCCTGTCCTCGAGGGCCGCAGTCCTGCATGTTTTACATATTTCCCTGCTCCAACACACCTGATTCAGTCACTGAATTACCTCTTTCAAGTTCTGCTGTATGGAGGACCGACACTGACAGAATTAAAAGCAGAAACATGTAAATGAACCACTAAATAAATAAATACATTTAAAATGCACCAAATAAATTAAAAAAGAATTTTACCTCAAGTTGTATAATTTNGTTTGGATCATTTTTAAAAAGAACAAACATTCAATAACAAGTCTGTTAAGGCAGGTAAGAAAAAATAAATAACTTTGGATGTAAAATTTTAAGATTTCTTAACATTTATTAAAGGTACCATCATGGTCTGTCCTTTGCAGAACGACAAAATGCAAAATTATTTCTTTGCTAAAACCTCTGTAACTTTGCTCCAGTTAATTTTAGCAGCATGAATCTTTGCACAGGTAATGTCCACAAGTGGATTTATGGTTTCCAAAAGCTTTTAGCCTGATTCATTATGGTTTTAAATGGGTTAAATACTGTCTAATGCAAAAATTATTCAGGTGAGAGTGAAAAAAAATTATGTTCCATCCTCAAAATCTCTAAAACAACAGCAGCTGTTTTAATACCTACACTTCTGATGAAATCTCCCAAGTGTTAGCTTTATTTTGATACCAAGATTATTTAAGTAGAGTTTGTAAATGCAGAGATAGTTACATTTCGGCATGGTATTTTGAGAAAAAACTTCAAGAAAACCCATTGGGGCTTAAGAGGTTAAATAAATGTCTCTCCCCCCTCAGGTTTACAGGACCAATCAGTGTGCAGGGGAGTTTGTGGTGACTTTCCCCAGGGCGTACCACAGCGGCTTCAACCAGGGCTACAACTTTGCCGAAGCTGTTAACTTCTGCACCGCCGACTGGGTAAACAAAGTCTGGTTAATTACGTTTCATTCATGGCGGGTGAGGGTGTTAAGTTTGCGCCTGTTCCTCAGTTGCCGTTGGGGCGCCAGTGTGTCGCCCATTATCGACGACTCCATCGCTACTGCGTCTTCTCCCACGAGGAGCTGCTGTGCAAGATGGCCGCCGATCCGGAGAGCCTCGACGTGGAGCTGGCTGCCGCCGTCTTCAAAGAGATGGGAGAAATGATCGAAGAGGAGACGAAACTCAGACAGGCTGTCCAAGAACTGGTGAAAACCTTCTCTTTGTTACTGATTTACACTAAAAGTGAACGGGACCATTTAAAGCCTTTTTTTTTCTTCTGACGAGTAGGGTGTGCTGTCATCGGAGCAGGAGGTTTTTGAGCTCGTTCCTGACGATGAGCGTCAATGTCACAAGTGTAAGACGACCTGTTTCCTGTCTGCGCTCACCTGCTCCTGCTCTCCCGATCGGCTGGTTTGTCTCCACCACGCCAAAGATCTCTGCGACTGTCCGCTTGGCAACAAGTGCCTCCGGTGAGAATTCCTCTTTTAAAACTAACCGCTCACCTCTGTGTTCCTCTCCTGTCCGGTCAAACATCTTCACTGTGTTTTTCTGCATTGCAGGTATCGTTACGATTTGGAGGAGTTTCCCTCCATGCTTTACGGTGTGAAGACTCGCGCTCAGTCCTACGACACCTGGGCTAAGAGGGTCACTGAAGCTTTGGCGGCAGATCAGAAAAACAAAAAAGGTTATTTCTCATATTTTACATCGCGGTATCTGTTTATTGATATAGATTTTAACTGAAACTTTCTCCTTCTTTCTCCTATAGACCTGATTGAACTGAAAGTTTTGCTGGAGGATGCGGAGGACAGGAAGTATCCCGAGAATACTTTGTTCCGTCGCCTGAGGGACATGGTGAAGGAAGCAGAGACGTGCTCCTCGGTGGCTCAGCTGCTGCTCAGCCGCAAGCAGAGGCACAGGTCTGTCAACGTGTGTGTGTGTGTGTGTGTGTGTGTGTGTGTGTGTGTGTGTGTGTGTGTGTGTACTTTAATCTAAAAACACGGACAATAGGTTGCCTTCAGGCCCAGGCCTCCCTTGAAAAAGAGATCTGAGATCTCAGCAGGACTTGCCTGGTTAAATAAGTAAATAAAATAAAATAATCCAGGAGAGGAAGAAGATATGTGGGCAACAGTGGAAAACATCTTTCTCCCTCTCATTGAGAGAGTTTGGGTGGAAGAATACTCCAACGTAGAGATCGACCGATACAGGTTTTTGAAGGCCGATACAGATTATTTTGACATCAGTCTAACCGACACGCCGATACATGCAGCCGATTGTTTTTTGGCCAATTCTTAAAGCCGGTACTGCTTTCTTCCTCCTTTAACATGATAAAAGTAAAAATGATAACAAATGTTACACAAGTCTTAATTTAAACAAAAAACATTTATTAACTGAGCTTTGTCTGGTGCAGGCTGAGTGAAGTGCTGCCACACAGGATTTCTTTTTTCAGCCATTTAAAAAAAAAGAAAAAAATTAAGATTTATTTTATCTAATACTACATATTCTGTTTTTATTTATAAATTAATCTGTTTAGTGTCTTTCTTTACATAAAAAAAAAT